CACTTGTCGCATTCACGTCCTCGTAATCCATTTTTGTCGAATACGCCAAAATTTCCTCGAGTTCGCCAATAAACGTCCTGTATTCTTCCTTTGTCTGAATACCGCCCTTATCCATGTACTTGCTGACCAATATCGAAACCGAATCCTCGTTAAATCGTCTGAGTGGTGTTGCCCGTCCCCATTTACGAATCATTTCCTTCTTCAACAAGTCCCAATCCCGATTCTCGTGTCCTTCCATATTCTCAATGCATTCACTGATCTTCTTAGATTTAACCATAAAAGGTAACTGAAGAGCCACGTCTTGTCCGCCAGCTTTGTGCAAGGAAGCAATCTTCTCCACGCGCTTGATGAATAATTCCACTTCTGATCCATCAAAGTCTAAATTGAGCTTCCGCGTATCTAGAACTACACCTTTCTCTTCATCAGCAAGCTTGATTTCAGCTTTTGTCCTAGTCTGACTTTCTTCAGATGAGGTTACCGCTAATCCTAACAAGCTTTCTTCTCCCGCTCCAATAGTAGTTTCTGCTCCGGCAATTCCCGTATACGGTGTTGAGGTTGCAAATCGTAATGAAGGTCCACGCGGTGGTGGAGTTTCTGGTACCGGTACATTCTGTGGTGCTTTGGCTTGATTTATCAATGTCATCATCATATCCTGCATGTGTTTCATTGAGTCCTTAAGTTCTGACATCTCTGCTTTCTGCTGTTGATATATCACTGATTGTTCTGTGTTTTGTTCCCCTGTGTTTGACATCTTGGGTTCTTGATTTAATAATTTGCCGAAATGTTCTGCCAAAAATTTCCGCTCCCTTTCTCTAATCAAATCCTTCGTCTCGGCAATCGAATCCTTCTTCTCGCCAATTGAATCCTTCGGCTCGCCAATTGAATCCTTCGTCTCGCCAATCGAATCCTTTGTCTCGCCAATCAAATACTTTGCCACCTCGATCGTATCCTTCGTATTGCCAATCGAACGCTCCTTATCGCCGCCAAAATCTTCCTTCTTCCCGTTATCCACGATTGATTTGATGTTGAGCTTGATTCACTAGAAAAATATGATTGATTTGAATGATCTTGATGAAGGTAATCGGCCACTGTTGGGACACCAGATGTAGGACTCCTGGGACGGATAGACACGGTAAAGTATATGTATATCAAAAGATCCCTTTGAGGGGGAAATAAATTGCAAATAGGGTTGAAAGGCTATTACAACTTACGGGTGGTTTGAAAGACCTGCCCCTCTAATTTGTACTAAACCAAATAAACTAAGAGTCTTGTAATTCAATTATTTAATAATATGTGGGCTGATTTC